GCCATGAGCAGACCCCGAATTCCTGCGGTGTCCCAGCCCTGCTGCGGCCACGAGTCCAGCCAGTAAATCCTGGAGAAAATCCTTCAGGAGCAGAGATCCCCCCTCCCTGAGGAGCCGTCCCGTGGCTGCGCTGCGCTCCTGGTGGAGAAGTTTCCCTGGTGAGCCCCCGGGCTGGAATTGCGGCTCTCTGCAGGGATGAGGGCTGGGCTGGGCTGGGCTGGGCAGGTGCCATCCCAGGGGACAGTGACAAATCCTGGCATTCCAGGCGCTCTCAGGAGGAGCCAAGGCACACCGCGATCCGCGCTGTGAACTCCTCACGGCCCCCTGAGGGTTTCACTGGAATTCTCTGCTCTTGGGTTGTTTTTCCTGACAGGATTTACGAGAACACTTTTTCCACTCGGGTTTCCAGCCATGTGGTAATGAAGGGTCTCGTCCAGGCTTCGTGCTGGGCTTGCCAGAACTCGAGCAGGCTGCAGTGCAGAGCTGGGGGCTGCTGTTGTCACCTGCATCCAGTGTCCCAATCCCACTGGAATCGGCAATGGGAGGGATTCAAAATCTCAAAGCCTCAGCCAAAATTAAGAGGAGCTGCCACTGCCTGGAATGTGGCTCAGGCCAGAGCTGGGTGATGGGGCTGGGGCAGTGGCAGGGAAGTTTTGCCATCCCTGAGCTTCAGCCTGGCCTGGCCTGGCCAGGAACACTGGGAATGGCAGCCCAGGACTGGGAATGGCAGCTCAGGACTGGGAATGGCAACCCAGGACTGGGAATCCAGCCCAGGACTGGGAATGGCAGCCCAGGACTGGGAATGGCAGCTCAGGACTGGGAATGGCAGCTCAGGACTGGGAATGGCAGCCCAGGACTGGGAATCCAGCCCAGGACTGGGAATGGCAGCTCAGGACTGGGAATCCAGCCCAGGACTGGGAATGCCAATTCCAGGACTGGGAATCCAGCCCAGGACTGGGAATGCTCCAGCAGCAAGCAGCTCTGGACTGGAGCTCCCACCTGGGACAAGGATGTCAGACCTGGAGCTGTCCCGGCCCTTTAAGGGCACTTCCAACCCAAACCACTCCGGGATTCTGGAAACCAACTGGGAATTCTTTTGTTGCTGCTACACAAAGAGAAACTGAGTGACAGACACAGCTTTGCTTTTCCACTAATGCCCCTTTTATTCATTTCTGTAACTTCTTCTTTTGTAAAGAAATTCTGTAGCCAAAACCAAAGGGTCTCTTCAGAAAAACCCCAAACAATCCACAAAAAAATTAACCACCAGCAAAGTAAAACCACAACACAACAACCTCAAAGGATCATTAAATTATTTCCCAGTGTCTCCAGCCACACTTCCTGCCTCCACGATTTATGTCCCTAGAAACAAGACCCATATTTACAATAAATCATGATAGAAAGAGTTCTGAGTATGGGAGCTGCTGCTACCTCATAAAAAGGCAGCAAAGCACTGGATTTAAATTTATATGATTTAATTAAATTTAAACTAGTTAAATTTAAGAAGTCACATCTCTATCACATGTCTAAAGAATGGGTTTACAAAGTGTCCCAATCTGTTGTTTTCTTCACTGCCTCCACTCTATTCCCTTGGCACTTTGGCCATTTGTCACCATTGCACAACAAAGACTTTGAAAGGGCAGAGAGAATCTTCAACTACAAGAAGCCAACATGGGAACCATTCCCTGCTTGGAATGAGGCACCTTCAGGTGTGTGTTCCATTCCCAGTGCTGGGAGGATGATGTGGAGAAGGCAGAGTCCCACAAAGCCCAGCAGCTCCCTGGGAAGGTGTCCCTGGCAGGTGTTTCCTTGGATGTCTCTGTATTCCAGAATTTTCTCCCAAACCAAGTGTTTCACCGTGGGGGAGCTCCTGCTCAGGCTTCAGCTGAGGAACAATTCCCAAAGTGCCAGTCAGGCTTCAGTTCTTGTCCTTGCATGCTGCAGTTTGGGCCCAGGAAATGATTCCCAGCATTCCAAGAAATGATTTACATTCACCTGTGCTTCATCATGAAAAAGGGAATTCAAGGAGCACTGTGCAAGTGCCTGCAGAATGTAAAGCCATCCAATAATTGATAGAAACCCATTTCCTGAGACTTGGGAATTTAGGGGACATTGGAGAAGTTAAATTTTGAAATTCCTAACTGAGGGTGCTTAACAGGGTGGATTTTCAGATGGATAAGGAAAAGTTCTTGGGGCCAGACTCTTCCATATGGGAATCTGTTGGATCCTCTCTTCCCACTGATCCATTGCCTGTGCCTGCAGCAGAGGAGGAGCCAGGGTGGCATCTTCCCTGTCTCCTCTCCTTCCTGCCATGTCTGGAATTCCAGAGGCTCTGGTGTGGAAGTGATGTGGCCTCGATCCAGGAAAAGGGAATTCCTCCTGAGCCCCGTGCCTGGGGGACACACAGGAGCACTGAGGGGTTTGGGATCCCAGCTGGGAATTGAGGACAGAGCTCCCCAGGGCAGCTCTGTGCATTCTGCCAGGCCTTGCAGAAGGTTTGGGCAGGGAATTCCACCCTGGAGCAGCAGCAGCAGCAGCAATCTGGCTTTTCATCCCAAGTTCAGTTTCTAAGGGGAATGCAGGAGTGTGGACAACACCTGACATTGCAGGGAAGGCCCTCATCCTTGCACAGGCAAAACCCAAAGAGAATCCATGCCCTTGGAATGGCTTTGGCACTTGGCAGCTCCCAGGCCTGGCACAGCATCCCCCACAGGGCACAGCTCAGGAATTTCCTCTTCATGGCCCCTCCAAATCCGGGCAGCTCCAACTGGGGAAAGCTCCATAAAACCACCCCAGAGAAGAGCCCTAGAGCTGAAAAATGGAGTTTGGAATTCAGGAATCACTTCCCAAGCCCCAGCCCTGTGTGCAGAGAGAACTGGGAGCACATTTGTTTATTTAAACCCCAGAGAGGAAATCATAAAAATGTTCATTTGAAAAATGTAAACTCATCATTATTTCCTTGAACCACACACGTGTCACCTTCCAAAGTCCCCTGAGAGAGGAGAAAGGACAGTCAGACACAGCCTCTGGAGCCAGGAGATGTTGTGGAATGTGGAACATGGGGAATGCTGTCACCAAGGGAAGCAGCTACAGCTAAATGGGGTTTTTGGCAATGAACACTAACTCAGGGAAGGATCATTCCTTTAGGATTGCTCTGGCACTCCCAGCTCCAGAGGAATTCAGTTTTCTTCATCCGAGGAGAGACCTTCAATCTCATCCCTGTCTCCTCCAATCGCCATCCAGAAGGCTTTGGCCACCTACAATGGCAGAAAAGATGGGAAAGGGAGAAAATTCCCATCAAGTGACTGAAGATTTGACACTTCCCATCCAAAGAATAGAAACTGAGCAGCAGCTGAATATGGCAGCCAGGTCTGTAAGGGCAACACATCCTCTCTGAGGCTAAGGAATTTCAGCAACACAGAGGCAATGATTCAGGTCATGGGAGGCACCTGTGATACAAAACCTGTGCTGTTTAAGGCAGCATTACATTTTCCAGAGATCCAGACTTTTCCATTGACTTGTGGAAGCTGGCAAACACCCCCAGTGACTGCAGGGCTTTCAGCTCAGAATTCAGAAAGGGCAAAGTCTTTTCTTTTATGGCACTGGGGTGGAATGAGATGATCTTTAGGGTCCTTCCAACCCAAACCATTCCAAGATTTTATGCTTTTCTGATATTTCAAACTTTCAGGTTATTCAATTTTTGGGAGATACCTGGCAAGTCTTCCCTAGGACTGTGTGGTTTGTTCTCACTACTCTTAATCCAGGAACTCTCCAGGAGCAGGAACTGTGGCTTGGAAAGAAAAAAAAACCCTCATTTTATTGATTTCCACCCCAATTCCCAACACTCACCTTCTCTGCGTGCAGCTTCCTCTGCTCGTGAGGCAGCGTGGCAGCTTTGTCTGTGGGGAACGAGAGCATTTGGGATGAGAAGCTCAGGAGTGAGCAGGGACAGAAACACCTCCTGCACCTGGATTTGGGAATTCCACAAACACCTCCTGTGCCTGGATTTGGGAATTCCACAAACACCTCCTGTGCCTGGATTTGGGGATTCCAGGAGCACCTCCTGCACCTGGATTTGGGGACTCCAGAAACACCTCCTGTGCCTGGATTTGGGAATTCCACAAACACCTCCTGTGCCTGGATTTGGGAATTCCAGAAACACCTCCTGCACCTGGGTTTGGGGACTCCCAGGCACCTCCTGCACCTGATTTGGGGACTCCCAGGCACCTCCTGCACCTGGATTTGGGGATTCCCAGAGCAACATCTGCTGCTTTCAAGAGCGTTATCAAGATGAAGGGCAAATGTATCGAAAGAGCAGCTACTTCTGGAGGACTTGAGGCAGGAGAACAGGAATTTCACAGTTCCCCTCTGAGCCCCTGGAGGAAGTGCCAGAGCTCGGGTCCAGCTCTCCTGGTGGGTTACCTTTCATTTCTTTCAGCTTTGAGAAGAGCCTTTCGAAGTTCTCCAGGTCCCCATCCCTCGTGGTCAGGCTGGCCAGCTCCTGGATGTCCATTTCCAGCATGGGATCTGAAATACAGCTTGGCTGAAGAGAAAGGATTCTGGCTCTCAGCAGAAAATCAATATTTTAACAGCTGCAAATCCCATTTGCAAATTCCAGTGTCAGAGAAGAGAAAGAAATATTTAATTTACTGATTGCTCAGACAGACAAATCATGGCATTGTTACAGTGGTGATTAATTTTATGGAAGAAATCCTTCCCTGGGAGGGTGGGCAGGCCCTGGCACAGGGTGCCCAGAGAAGCTGTGGCTGTCCCTGGACCCCTGGAAGTGTCCAAGGCCAGGTTGGATGGGGCTGGGAGCAGCCTGGGACAGTGGAAGGTGTCCCTGCCCATGGAAGGGGTGGGACTGGATGAGCTTTAAGGTCCCTTCCAACCCAAAATATTCCAGATTCCATGGTTGTATGATACATCACGTGTGAGCTCATCCAGTATTTAAGATTTCTTGCTGATCCCAGAATGAAACAGCCACAGAGTGAACCAAAGAGTGCTGAGAGCACAGCAAACCTTCAGCTCTCACACACAGCTGCTCAGGAAGTCCCACCTCCTGCAATGCTGCCATGATTTGAGGATTCTCCTGGCTCTGCAGTGCCTTTGTGCCCCACTTTTCCCTGAGCAGGAGCCAGGGGCTCTGTCCCTGCCAGGTGTGGAGCTCACCTGCAGCACTGTCAGGCTCCAGGCTGTTTGTGCCAGCTCCATCCTCTCCTCCATCTGACTGGGATTCTTCCCTGTCTCCTGGGGATGGGTTGGACTGTCAGGAAACAAAGATATTTCAGTAGCCAGTAATGCATGAAAAAACATCAGCAGCAAATCAGGTGCTTCCTGCTTTTCCTTCCAAACCTTGCACTTTATCTCAAAACCTGTGCCATGAAAAGCCACTTCTGCAACACTGGAAACTGGTGCTGCATGAAGGGATTCCAGGATGGATTTGTTGGGTTTTTTTCAATTAACACCATGAAATGACAGGTTTTGTTTTGCCCAAAAGGGGATAATTTGGATATAATCAAACCCATCTTGAATGGAGCTTTTAGTGCTCTTTCTTTTGGCTCTGTGGCACAGTGGGGAGGTCCCAGCCACCCCCCCATGGATGCAGGGAGGGCCTGAGCAGAGCAGGAACCAGGAATTTCTGGAATTATTGTTTACTTCTGTCTCCAGGGTCTCTTCACAGCCACGGCTCCTGTTTGCTCCTGCCAAGGTGCTGAGGAGACCAAAGCCCTGGGTCCTGTCTGCAAACAAAGCAAAAAGTGCAAAATTACTGCAAGTACTGGCACTGGCCAGGTGAGAGAGGGAGAATTTCACAGCACCATGGAAAACTGTGCCAGTGAACTTGAAAATAGATTTTAAACAGAAATTTCACATCATCTCTAAGCTTTAAACTGTGTTTGCAATGTTTGCTGCTAAATGTGCCCTCAGGGAAGAGATGTGTGAGCCACAGGAGATGCGGCATCTTTTCAAAGCTTGTTGGAAGCCTCTGCTCTGTTAGGATCTGAGCTGGGAAATTCCAAACGAGGAAGCTGGAAAATGCAGCAGCAGAATTTGCTGCTCCTGGTGCCCAGGTTTCACCTCCATGGGAAGCAGCACTGAGCAAGACAATAATGGCAAAGAAAATTGTTAAATATCTAATTCAGAATTCCTGGGTGGATTCATCCATCAAATCCAGGGTTTCTTCTCACTACAAGGTGCCCTGGGCTCTCCTCACTGCTGGCCTGGGGTGTAGCTCAATGCTGGTTTAAAACTCAAACTAAAAAGTGATTTCAAACCTAAACAGTCAGCTAAGATAATAAATGTGGTGCAGTATTTTTAATTTAAACTGGCTGTATTTTTAAACCTGTTTTATATAAAAGTATGTGCATAATGGGTGACATGATGAGGTGTTTTTTACTGTCAGGTTTTTCTAAGTCAGTTTACTACTCAATACAAACTGGCCTTGCATTGAGTAGTAAATATTTGCAGTTACACAAGACACTCAGGAGATTTTTCTGCAAACCTTTGTATTTTAGTCAACTAAAACTGAAATAATGTGAACTTATTGTACCAGAAATAGCCAGGAAACAATGACTTCTGCCAGAAGAAAGATTTAATATTACTTTTTAAAAGAAGTATGTTCTAAATTATTACTCTCATGACTAAGCTCTAGACTCAACTGTTGAGGTGATGTCATTTGGATGCTCTGTCCAAATTTCCTTGCCATTTCTCATTTTGAGGGGTTGGATGTGTAACTGAGCTCACATCAACACATCTCCATGAGAATTCCTGAGCCCCCATTCCCTGTTCCTGAAGCTGATCTCTTCTGCCCCATCCCTGGCAGGTATTTGGGGCCCCTTGCTCTGCTTTATCCCCTTTTTCTGCTTCAACAGATCCCTGGCCAAAGGGGTGGGAAGAAGTCAAGCAGTGGAGCTGAAGGAATTCCCTGGAAAACGTTCAGCTGCCCGTGGAGCCCATCGGGTCAATGAACAGGAAATGCAGGATAAAAGTTTGGGGTTTGCATCCCAAAGCAAAGCAACTTCCCCAGGTTTCATGGGGCTGAGCAGAGAGCTGGCTTTGGGGAAGCTGTGAAGATGGACATGGAGCCAATTTCTGAGTCATCCCAAGCAAGGCTGGACACTGCAGTGCAGAATGTCCTGGAGAGAGAACATTCCCACACTGGCAGAGGAGGGGATGCAGTGATCTCATCATGGACCTCCTTCCTAGCTGGGATTAGAGTTTGTCCTGTGCAGAAAAATGGCAGTGGCTCCATATTCCCTCCTCCCAACACTACAGAACCTCGGCCAGAATTATTACAAATGTCATTCCTTTCTGGAAAACCTGGAATGTGCAGCAGGGATCTCTGAACAGCAGCAATTTGTCCCTGGATCCGTGGTTAGGGAGGAGGCAGACACAGCACTTGGTTGCAGGCACACCCTTGAAAAACCCTTCCTATAAACTCCTTTTATTGGATGTAAAAGTTATTTCAACTTCTGGGTGCAATTCAGGAAGTGGGTGATGCCTTACACAGTGTTCTGAAGGCAGCAAAGCCAAAAATTAGCTCATCCCACTTCTTGGAGGAGCCAGTGGCTACGATGGAGCCCAGAGCAGCTGTGGCTGTCCCTGCACCCCTGGAAGTGTCCCAGGCCAGGTTGGACACTGGGGCTGGGAACAGCCTGGGACAGTGGGAGGTGTCTCTGCAGGAGTGCAATGGGATGGGATGTGGGGTCCCTTCCCACCCAAACCATTCCAGATTCCATGGGCCCGTGCTCTGTGTAGTTTCACAGGAATCACTCATGATTCTCTGAACATGGATTCAGCATTTCCAGACTCCTGTTTCATAGCCAAGTGTTTTCCACTGCCTTTACCTGTTATTCCTCCTGTCTCCAGCTGACACATACTGATCCTTACATATAAAATTGGAATTAACACATCAAAATTCACAATTTGTTCAAATGGCCCCCCTAAATCAGGTTAATTGGCTGTGATCAGAGCCAGGCTCATTCCTGGCCCCACCTGAGGTAAGGAGCTTCACCTGGGATCACTCAAGCTGGGATTTAAGCAGGAAAGAAGCCCAGCAGCTTCTTCCACAGGGTTGGAAATTATTTCTCTTTTTGCTACAGAGGCTCTTCCAGGAACAGAAGAGGTAACAGCAGTTTAATACCTCTGTGGGGAGGGAAATGTGTTACCTGGAGAACTCCTCATGTTCTCCTGCACAAGAAAACTTCCAGAGACTGAAGGGAGCTCCAAGGCCTGGAGACACCAACTTTACAGCAGCTCCAGAAAGGATTTGTTCCTGGGAGACTCCCAGGTAAGACTGTTTGGCTTTGAGTAGAGATAATGCTGCTCTATTTACTCACAAGCACGTGGGGTTGCTTACTTGGTGTCAACTTGTTTCTAATTCAACTGTGTTCCATTTAATAATTGTTTTGATGGATTTCTGTGAGAACAATGTATTTAATGGTGAGAGAAAAAAATCTGAATATTTTAATTAATAGGTGTGTGAAAAAACCTGCAGCTTGAGAAGAATTGTGTTGGAGCTTAATGTGAGAAAATAATATGGGTCTGATGTTTGTGTTTGAAAAAAAAAGTTTTTCCTGCTCTGTCTGTTAATTTAAATTATCATGAAAACAGGGTTTTGAATTAAGGCTACACCTTGCAGTGCTAGAAGTATTTGCTATTCCACATTTACTGCTGGAACTCTGTGATAACTTTCCCTGCATGGTTCTCCAGCAGGCAGGAACTGCAGGTCATTCAGTGGAAAAGCTAAAGGTGGATTTACATGGCAGCCAGTTTGTAGGATCTGGAGGAAGCTGAAAACAAAAGAAGTGTTACAGGTTGTAAAAAGTTTTATTTTAAGCAAAATGAGCTCAATGATTTCCTTTTGAAGGCACAGTCAGGCTGTAACACCTTCCAAATATAGCTCACTTCCTGAGGGGTTTGTGGTGGTGCAGCAGTGCTGTGTGGGGCTGTGGAGAGAGAAAATCTGGATTTTTCAAGGAGTCTGACCTTTACAGAACACACCAGTGATGTGCAGGAATTTCCCCCTGTGAAGAACTGAGCATGTGACTAAATTCTGCTGTTCTCTAAGGTGGCATCTGCCAAATACAGGAAATATGTTGTTAAAAATCCATTTTTAGCACAAGTGAGATAAGCTGACACCATCTGCCAAGGTCACCTGGTTCTCTGCAATGGTTACACTGAATCAGAGCCCACCTTCACCTCAATTCTGATGGGGAATGAGAAATCATCAAAAAGCTGCATTAAAAAAATGGAGTTGAATAATTCTCATCCTGGTTTTACTGAGTCCCAGCAAGCAGACATAGAAATGAACAGCAGCCTCTCAGTGCTTTAAATCATTCCACAGTTGTTGTAGGAAGGGAGAAGCCACAGCAAGGAGCAGAGAGGTGTTGCAAGGTTGGTGGTGGGATGAGGCTTTATGAATAAAAAATTTCAGGCCAAGCACTCCTTAAAAGTTTCATCTTCCTACATTTTCTGCAGCAGTTTGTGTGATTAGAAAGGTAATTAAGGGTTTTCAAGTTGAAGGATCTACACTTGTAACCAAAGAATTTCTTTTTCTGATGAGTCTAAAATGATTTTTCCAAAATTCTAATTCTACCTGATAATCAGCTTTCTCAGAAAATCATTTGGTTGCCCATTTTTTGCACTGTTGTCAAAAAATTCTGTGGTTTCTGTACTCAAGTGGGGTTTTCTGCAGCAAAAACAGTCCTTAAATGTTCCTTTGCCAAATCTCATCTCTGCACTTACTATTCTCATCCCTAGCCCAAAAATTAAAAAACAAAACAAAACCCCCCTACAACAAATGTGGAATTGAACCTTTACTTATAAGCTGAATCATGTATCAAGCTGATAATTACAACCTATTTCCTATTAGAGTTTGGTGGAACAAATTTGGGAATTTTCATTGCAACCTGCAGAATTAATGGAATATTTAATTCAAATTATCGAGTGCAAGTTAAAGTAGAGAGGGAACAGGAAGAAGTTTTACACAGAAATCCTTTCCTGTGATGGTGGTGAGGCCCTGGCACAGATGAGTTGTGGCTGGAAGTGTCCAAGGCCAGGTTGGATGAGGATAAGCTGAGTTTTAAGGTCCCTCCCAACCCAAAGCAGCCCAGGATTCTGTGTGAAATCTCACCCACTGCCTGTGAGTGCATCAGGACACCAAGGCAGGATGAAAGCAATGCCTGAGCCCTCCTGTTCCCTGGGAAAGGTCCCAGGGTGCTCCAGCTGTGTCTGTGCTGATCCAGCTGCTCAATTTTAATTCCTGATAACCCCCAGGGCCACCTACCACCCTTCATGACCACGTTGGACCAGACGTTGGCGTTGAGGGCCTGCACAATGCGCTTCACTCCCGTGGACTCGGGGAAATCATCTGCACAAAAACACAGAGAGTAACTGTGAAAACTCCCAAAAAGTAATTGTAAAAGCCCCCTAAGAGTAACTGTGAAAAGTCCTAAAGAGTAACTGTGAAATCTCTCAAGAGTAACTGTGAAAAGTCCTAAAGAGTAATTGTAACAACTCCTATCCTAAAGAGTAACTCTAAAAACTCCCAAAGAGTAATTGTAACAACTCCTATCCTAAAAGTAACTGTGAAATATCCTAAAAGTAACTGTAAAAACCAACTGCTCACAGTAACTCTGAACACCATGGCATGCCTCCAGAGGTGAAGGCCTGGCCTATCTTCTCACAATCATTAGAAATTCTGCTCCTGGTACAAAGCACAGATTTTTCACCTTTGATTCATGGAGGCCATGAAAATGAAAATTAATGCCTTGCTTCTTGGGCTGAGCTTTCAGGGATAATGAACTGTATTTTGCAGGTATCTAAATTGTTTTTGTTAAATAGTAGGAGGCATGCATTAAGTAACATCTGAGTAAATTTTATAGTAACAGACAAGGAACTTGAATCTTTTACCTCAAAATCTCTTACAATGCTGTATAGCATAGAAATTTATTAGAAAATTTATATTAGAATTACTTTTCTTTCTGGTACAAAGTAAAGAACTCGAGACAACCATTTTAAAAGGATGTATAAATGGAAATATTGAATGCTGTCCCCATAATATCTATCTCTGAAAATTCCAGTAATCCTGGCAATTATAGGAATTTGAAAGCCCAGGGAAAGCATTATTCAGATTTTAATTTATTTACTGAATAGATCTGACACTGCTTTAGACCAAGTCAGTTTTCCCATTTCCTCAGTTTAGTCAACTTCCCATGTTTGTGCAGGTTGACAAAAGGAAAAAAACCCCCAAACAATCCTTTGGATACAAAAACGTGATTGTTCAGAAATCAAACTCCAGTGACTCAGGGACACGTGCAGTAATTAAAACTGTCTTTAGAATTGAATTGAAGGCTGAAATCAGATTTTTTTGCCCTTTGTGATTCTGCTGTTTGGTTTGATATCAGAGTCGTTATCAAGAGTCTCAGTTTAGAGCTCCTGTCCTGACTGGGCAAACAACTGATAATGAATCAAAACAAAAGTTGCAGCTTATTTTGAGAAGAGCTGCCTGAAATGTCAGAATTTCGAGCAGAGATTGGCCCAGTGTGTTTACAGCATCTGTTGTGCTTTTTGTAACTCACCCAGAATGTTTGTGGGGTAAATAAGTTACTCACTGGAACACAGTTCCTCCTCTGCATGAGTCACAGTGAATCAACTTACCAGATTAAACAGTAAGGAAAGAACATGTATCCCAATATTCCAAAAATTAACATCCTGGGTTGTTATTATTCCTGTTAGTTAAATGGTAAAGAGCTTGTTTTTTTACAACAATTATTTAATAGAAAAATAACTTGAGTTAAGGTTACTATTTTTAAAGCACTTAGTATTTGTTTGGTCTAAGGCGTGTTCACTTCTGAATTTCCCAGTTTCTGGGAATCAAATCTGTGAATCTCCCTTCTTGAATAAAAAAAAAAAAAAATGGAAACATTTTAAAGGCATGGTGGGGAGAGAGGGAGACTTCTCAGCTACTCAAGATCCAATTTTAGTAGGCCTTCCAAGGGGGAAAGGGGGTGGGATGTGTTCTAGGTGAGTATTTTATAATGAATTATTTTTGGTGACTGCAATGTGCTTGGAGAATCTAAACCAAAGCAAATGTTAGTGACTAATTCCTCTCCAGCCTGCAAATGCACTCAGTTTTCTCATTTGATTCCAGAGAGGTAAGGTGTAAATGCTCTCTCTCAAGTGAGGAGATAAGGCTGATGCTGATAAGGCTCTCAGGAAATGCACAGTCACTTTTCAAGAGTGGAACATCACACTTCTGACTCTTCTTTCTGGGTTTTTTTATTTTTTTTTTCAAGTTATAAATGTTGGGCAGCCAGTGATTCTGAAACTGGTTTATTTCCTGTGTAACAGCTTGTGTTGCTCTGAAATGTTTTTAACAACCTGCCATTTTCAGCCTATCGTGTCACTGTTTGTACCAAGATAGTATGAAGTAGTTTTTAAAGTCTTTTTAAAACCAGAATTTTTCTGCCTTCGTGCAGAAAAATGTTTCTTCAGATCGATTTTTTCCAAGTGGAATATAAACTTCTGATGTATCAATACAGTCCAAGGGCAGTGCCAGAAAAAGGAGCAGATATTATTTTTACGTAGGTGCTGCATAAACAGCAGCTGGATTTGGGAGGGGACAAATGGAATTTCTCAGAGGAAATAACCTCCTCCTCATCCTGACCTTTTATAGCTGACACTAAGCCCCACCAACTGGGAGCATTCCATGCTGTAATCATGTGGCACATCAACAATTGCAAGGGGCATGACTTTATTTAGAAGATATTTTGGGGCACAGTTTCATTCTGGAAATGGCAAGAGAAGCAGCACACCTACCATCTTCATCAGGCAGCTCCTCAGGGCTGAGCTCTACCAGCTCAAAGCCATGCTTGATGCACCATTCTTGAGCTTTCTGTCTGTTTACACCTAAATTGGGAGATAAAAATGGGTATTAAAGGTGCAGATTTGAGGTATCAGAAGGTTTATCAGGATATTTAGCTGTGGTTTATTCCCTCAAAGTTGTTTGCTTGCTCTGGAGTGTATGGGAAAGTGTATAGCAGCTGGTATGGATCCTCCATTCACTTGGATTCCACAAATAAACTCCTCCTTGGAATTGAGGGATAGAATCAAATGGTTTTGCTGAGGGTACAGTGGGAATGAAGCCTTCTGTTAACTCTGGGTTGGACACTGAATTAAGCTGCAGGGGCACATCTGCACCTCCCAGCTTGCTGCTGTCCAGGACCACAGCAAAGGTGTGTGTCAAAAAAATGGAATTCAGCAAGCAAGTCCTCCCCATTTTTCAGCAGGAATGCCTTTCAGTCCCCCTGCAGTGGCAGGACACAGAGGTGACTGAGCAATCTGCTGAAATTCTGATTCAGTTTTAACCACATCCCACTGAAGGATTGAGCTCCTGCTCCCCAGAGTCACCTGGCTGGGCTCTATCAGCTGCCCAGACTGAGGAGCAATTGTTGATGGAATTGGAAAGTCAATTCTGATGTGAGGATGGGAGCTCTTTGTGTCCCCTACCATTCTCAGACACTCTGTCACAAACCAGGATCATCACTTCTGGCAGCCACTCTTCTGTCAGGGGAAGCCATTCAGAGACACCCTCCAGTCCAGTTTTCTACAGGGGAAAAGAAAAGTATTCTTTGGAATAAATCCTACAGGACTTTAGTTTTTAATAGTATTAGAATTGAATTCTATGAAGAAATAGGTGGTTTTTTTTGTCTCAGCCTTTCTGGTTTCTGTTAAACCACTTTTTACTGCTGCTGGTTTAGTAGAAACTATTTTGGGTAAAATGCACTGAATTTAATATTTAGCTCCCTAAATTCTGTCTGTCCTAAAGGAGCCTTTAAGAAGCAGCATCAGGTAGGAATAAAGCTGGAGATGATGAGCTGGATTTACCATGGTGGCATAATGACTCCTGAAAACCCCTCTTGCAGCAGGAGGAGAGCAGCAAGAAGGAAACTGCTGCTGTGTTAGTAGGGAAATGTAATATTTAGTATTTAATATTGAGCTTCTGCCAATGAATAGAACAGCCTGAAGGGGATGGAAGGAGAATCTGATTTCTGGTTCTGTGATAAGGCAGCTACATGAGACAGAAAGCAGGAGAAGGAAGCAGAGGAGCCTTACTGTTGTGCTGTCAAAGTACACCACAAATGCCTGCACAGCCTCAGCAATCTCTCCAGTCACGTGGAATGTGTTTGGGACCACACAGAGGTGGATATCTGCAGAATAATATTTGTTATCTATCGTCCAGGGGTAGAAATTCACTCTTCCATTTGTTATTGCACCCACAGTAAGGTCATCTTTTCCTGTGATACCTGCAGGAGACAAAATGGATGAGGAGGAGGGTAAAACCAGTATCAAGAAAATAATTTGTCTACAAAAGCATAGTGCCAATGCAGATCCATCTTTACTATAATAAACCAGTATATAATTGAGATCTTTAAAAATTCAACTCAATTTGTTACTCTGTCCCAGATTTTATTGCTTAGCTTTCAAAAGAGTTTATTTCCTAGTTTTCAATAAAAAATATGGCCCAGAAGATGCAGAAAGCCTTTTGTTTTCCTGGAAATGCCTTTTTAAATACTAAGCTTGAACTTAGTACCTGTAAACAGGATGGATGGAGAGAAAACCTAAACTTCATTCCAACCCTTGCATGCTCATTGAGATGTAAAGATCTGTTTAACTGTGACCAAAACCTGAAGGTAACTAATGAGAAAATAAAACCCAGCTCCTACAATTCAGTTGTAATTCCCATTAAATTCCATGTAGGAGCTCAACCATTAAAATCCAGTGCTCTGCCCTTCAAGGCAGGAACCTCACCAGGAACACTCCTGGAGCTGAATTGGAGCTGGAAGCAGAGCATCCCATTATTCCCTGGGGGAAAGGCCAGGATATCTTGTTTAGGCTGGATGAAATCGTGGCCACTTTGGAACACAGGTCAATTATTTATAAAATGGACTGAGTCATCCAGAATTGCCTTGGGCAGCACAAGAGTTAAAGAATAAAGTACATGGCTTTTCAAGGATTTGTATTTTAAGGTACTGAGAGTGAGTTCCTGGAGCTGCTGGAACAGGCTGTTCCCCAAATAGTCTGGAGATGAATTTGAATTTATCTGTATCTTATTAGTAAAAAGACAGGAAAACCTCCCTGCCAAGGCTGCAGTGATTTTTACAACTGAACTGCAAAGCTGAGAAATAGATCTGGTGAATGAGCACAGGGCACAGGCAGCTGTAAACCAGGATTATTTGCAGCCCTGAGGAGGAGATGGAATCTGAGGGAGAAATGTGACCTTGGAAACAGAAACCTGTAGCCATTTCCTATTTGAGAGGATGAAACAGGAGTCTCCTCTCTGGGTTTCTTAAAATAAGAAATGCCACATCTAAGTGATTTTTCCAGGTTCAAGTTTTACTTTATTTTGGATAGCAATTATTTTTCAGAGTTAATTGGTTTTTAATCAGATGATATTCCATGCTAAAATTACCCAGCTCACTTTGGAGCTGGGGGACAAAGATCCTGAGTCACCACCAAACCAACCTGGATTCTGAGCTTTGTCTTCTCAGAGGTTTTGTTTTGATTATGGAATAAATTTGCCTTTATCAGTGTTCTGACAGTTTAAAATAAGTAACTAAATTAAAATCAGTCTGAGCTAACAGAATTACAGGTCCATGCCACAAGAAGCTACAAATAAAAGGGTCCTCAGAAATTACTGAAACCCAGAAAATGTGCAGTTGCTTTCTAAGGGATATTTTTTCAGAAGAGTTCATGGACAAATTTAGGTCTCAATTCTCTGCTAGAATGAGGCCATGTCCTATTTCCTATTACCTGCCACTGGTTCCTGGATTTTAAGGGGTTTTCTTTCATCCCATTGTGCTGTTAATTACCCATCCTTCAAGCCGAGATTTTGCCGATTTTCTGTGAAATTTCTCCCCCAGTAAAAATGGATGTTGCACACTGAACTCAAAGGGTTTCAGGAACTTGGTGAAAGGATTCAGACTTGTCGGTGTCTCAGGCTGTGGGGTTGTAAGAAATCACTGCACAACATTCCTGATCACTCCCGGCAGGAAACCGAGCAGTTTGTCAGGAGTTCCCTCCCAAAAAATTCACTTGGAACAATTCGATTTTGGTCTTTAGAGCAAACAAGCAGAGATTACAAAAGAAATATACACTGCAACTCAAACTGAGTTCTCATTTGATGCAGGAATTGGTTTGAAGGGTTGTATTTATCACACCAGCATTCCAGAAATTTCTTTCCTAGACAGCGTGGATTTTAATGAAAGCAGGAAATTCAGCTCGAATAATCTGGTATTATTGATCAGAATCAACTCCTAGGAAATTAAGATGGCAAAAGGAGGTGGCTTGTCCAGCTGAGCCCCTAGGAGTGAGTTCTGAGTGAGTTTTTAATATGGAACTGCTCAGCCATTGAAGGTGGCAGTGGTTTGCCATGAGGAAAAGGTTTCATTACTTCCAGGCATTCTGTCACTGGTTTCTTCACTCATAAGAATTTTTATCATTTTTATAAATTTTAATAAGCAGACAATAGTTATGACCAATATTTTTGGAAATTGTTTTCAGCTGTTTACAAAAATGTTCGCTCATCAACTTTTAATTTTGTATTTTATCATACAGACAAGATAAATTAAGTAACGATTTTGAACACGAGAGGACATGGCAATATTATAAAATCTCACATCCCTTCCCCATTTTTAATGCTGAATCTTACTAAATCTTCTGAAAGTGCAAATACTTTTGAAAAAGGGGAGTTGAAGACCAGAAAAAACTTTTCAGAAGAGTTCAATAATCAGAGAGGCAGGTGTAGCTCTTTTGCAGTAATTTCCCTGCACTTCTAGCACATTGTGTGTCTAATAAAAATTTTTTTAATTATTACAACTTCTTTTTGAAGTTTTTTTTCCCCCAAAGAGATTAAGGTATTGACCACTCTTAGCAGTGTTTTTCAGACTGAATGAATGTTTTAAGAACATAATGCCCTAAATTCACCCAAATCCTCAGAGTTGTCAGGTACACTGAGTAGTTGCCACATTCTGGGCCTTGAGAGCCACCTGGTGGAATAAACCATTAAAAATACTCCTGAAATTACACCGAGGAGTAAAGAGAACCCAAATACACTGAGGTGGAGGAGGGGAGTGGTAAAAATCCCAAAAGAAAAGGAAGAACAATCACATCAGGCAGTAAGAAAACTGCACCAGTCTCACTTGCTGTTTTGTGATAAATATATCACAATAATAACAGGCAGATCTATGTTAAGCACTTTAAATAGCTTTGTTTTACCACAGTGTGCCATGAATTAAAGCATTCAGAGCACCCTGCAGAAACCTGGACAAATATAAAGATTTATCTAGCAAATGTAGCATCAGCTGCTTCTCACCCTCAAGCCGTTTTCCATTTAACAGGAGGAAAACCCAGGAAAAAGTCTTGGAATTGGCCTGGGAAGTTCTGACATCCCACCAAACCCTTCCCACTGCTGCCCCAGCCCTGCCAGGGTGTCCTCGAGTGCTTTACAATCTGCTGCATCTGATTTCATTTCACTTCTTACACAAAGCAGGGACTTAAAATGCTTGTGGTATTTATTTTAACAAATTATTTTAGTTCTTTCAGGGGGATTTTAAGGTAACCCAGACACACAGACAGGACTCCAATTTTGGTACTGGGAGCAGTGGAAGCTGAGACATTTCAAAGTGAGTACTAGTTTAAAAAAAATCTGAGTTTAAATTTTAAGACTTTCTCGGATTAAACAGCTTTTAGCTCACCTACCTTTTCTACCTGTTTCATTCCACTAAGCAATATAATCAAAGGGGAAACCTAGAGGAACCTTGAATAATTCCTTCCCATTTGCCTATACCTTCCTCAAAAATATACTGATAACAGTAATATTTTTAGGTGTGGAATTTTTAAATAATTCAGTGTCATGCAGCTGCTTTGACGGAGGAGCCTTTGACTGCATATCTTGTACTGTTATTTTTGTTTCAAAATGTGCTTTAATGAGGGAGGGAGGCTCCCTTTAATGAGGGAGACAATTCCTCACCAAGCACAGGGCTTGGTGAGGGGTCCTAAGTAAGAATTGCTCAGAAAGAGATAAAAACAAATCCAGAAAAGAGATGAGGGAGTTAAGTTCGACATCTCAGTGTGCCCAGAAAACTGTTCATGAATTTCCTAAAAGCCTGAGCTGTCCTAACATGGGGGAAGCCACCAAGATCTGAACAGCTTCTTCCTGGAATCCTCAGATTTTAAAACTACCCAGAATCACACCGTGTTTTCCTCTACTATCAGATCTTATTCTTGTGTTCTCCTTTTGAGCTATAAAAATGGCAACTGGTTCCCAGGAAAACCACTTCCTACTCAATGAATTCTGTGTAGTCGGTATGAAGTGTAATCTGCAATTCTATCAGCTACAGAATAGACAGACTTTTTAGAATTTTTCCCTTGTAATCCTTCCGCATTGAGAAACGGGTGAATTATTTCCCTAAAGCACTAAAGGAGGCTCCTGACACCCTCTGCAAGGGATCGGGGGCAGCGTGGCTGCCCTGAGGGGAGAACTGCGACCTTGACGGGAAAAATGAGAAACCTGAGGGG